CACATTTATCAAGCACCTGGCGCATGGTGCAGCTCTGTGTTCCTCTTACCCACCATGACTCACAGCAAGCCTCTGATGGGGGCACCCCCACCCCCACTTAGCAAGTGCGGAAACTGAGGCTTGAAAGCCTTGTTTCAGGACTCACAGATGGCTGCGGAAACAGGTGGACCCCAAAGACCACCTGCTAGGTCAGTGGTTAGCAAACCAGTGGCCCAAGGGCTGCATCGGTCTACTTTTGTCAATAAAGTTTTATTGGAACCGCAGCCATGCCCATTGGTTTTTACTCTAACAGAGTGGTGTGGAGGCCCTATGGCCCTGTACTCCTTCAGCCTTCACAGGGCACGGGTACCACACCCTGCACCAGCGAGTTAAAGCGACAGGCTGTCACTCTTACGTCCCCAGTTCTACTCTGGTTGGAGGCGCAAGGGGTTGAGGGAAAAGCTGACCATGATAAAAATCAGACAGAGTCCTTTTATATTACATGCTGTGACCATGATCTATTGCTCACGCACAGAGACTGACCAACCCCTCAAGGGTGGGGAGCAAATGACAGAGAGAACCATTCCACACCCTTTGTTTATTTTGGGATGCCCCAGGCAGCTCCTTGGTTGGGGTGGGAGTGGGGTTGGGAATGATCAGAGGTCATAGCGACCTCATTGGCCCCCAAGTCCTCCAGCTTCTCACTGAGACTCTGGGTGTGTGGTGGGGGCAGATGTGAACACTCCAGCCACCTGAGGAACAGGTATCCTGAAGGCGAAGGTCACTAAGGGGTCTGTCCTAGGGCAGTGCAGGAAGTCTCCAGGAGCAGTGCCTATGTCCTCCGCATGGGATTGTGGGATGTTGTGGACAGAGACCTGGTCCTGCGTCCCACCTTGGGATGAAGCTTGGGGAGGTGTGCTGCCTCTTGGTGTTTTCATTTCCTCATCTGATAGAGAGGAACTGTAATGGCACCACTTGTCCAGGGTGGCCAGGGAGGATGAAGTTAAATGGAACATGAAATGTGGACCGATTAGCAAAGAGTTGGCTCACCAGGAAGTGCTCAGAAAGTGGCTGTATTTCAAAGCATGATCCATTACTCCGATTCACAGTAACTCTAGTGCCGCACTCCTCAATACATTTAACTTCATTGAAAATTAAATTAATGAAAAATAAATGAGATAAAGAGACCCACGTAGTTCCTGAGTCACACGGCCATGTTTCCAGTGCTCAGACGGTGCAGCTAGAGAACATGTCCAGCATCAAGGGAAGTTGTATTGTGTTGGCAGGTGAGGTTTAATGGGATTGGTGTCAGGCAGGGATTTCATATAAACCATCAGGTGTCACTAGGAGGGTATGGGCAGTGGGGGGTGACTCTGTCAAAGAGGTCACACCAAAATGCCTGCATATAAAATATTGGTGTAGCATTGATCATTTTAAAAATAAAAAGTCTGTAGTATGTGATAATATTTTTCTTTTTGTTAAACTCACCTTAAACAGCCCCCCCCCTGAAAAACCCCCAAACTCACTGCTGTTGAGTTGATGTGATCCTATAGTTTGACTCATGTGATTCTATAGGTCAGAATCAAACTGCGCCTGGGAGTTTCTGAGACTGTAGCTCTCACACGTATCCAGATACTCACAAGGTTAAAATTCTCTGCTACTTAACTTGTTGAACCTCTTCATGAACCCCAGCCAGAGCTGACATTCTCACCCAATTATGATACCATTTCAAATCACACGGTTTTATCTGCATGTGCTATAAGTACACGCTGCCACTTTTAGTGCGGCTGTGTTTATGGTCACAGATTTGATTAGTTTCTGGTATTTTAGCTATATAATATTGTGGTTATTAGTACTTGTGACCCTATATCAATGGCTTTTTTTTTGGATAATTAACTAGTAATGGGGGGAAAAGGGATAATCCCAAAAGACTTCTGCTCCATGACTAATTCAACTATAACTAATAATGTAATCCACTGCAGACAGGTTCCTGAAACAAGTTTGTTGTTCATATTCACATAGTTCAAGAGATTGCACATTTAAGCCATTTACAGCTGTGCTTATCCTGTCTTAGTCTATGATGGAAATCAATAGTCGACATTCCTAGGGAATCTGTGTGGTTTGGTACCATCCAGGGGCGTCACAGTAACAGCATGAGTCACTGCTCGGTGACATCCACCGTAGTGAAGGTACTGAGAGACAAAGGCCAGGCAGTTGGCTGTAAGTCCCCACCTCTGGGATTTTCTGAGTGGTGGGTTCGGAGAATCAGGGAGTGGATCCTACTGAGAACCTAGGGTTTCCTGGGTGCCTTTAGGAAGGAGGCAGCTGTCCCTGGAGTATGCCTTCCCATCTCAGCGACCATGGAGCTGTGGCATTTGATTCAGTGGGTTGCGTGCTATTCTCACCAGGAAACTGCCTGGTGAGGAGGGCGGCCCCTACCTTGCACATGTCTGACAGCCAGTTCTCTTCCCCCTTGTCTATGAAGCCGTGGATGATGAAGCGCGTCTTGCGGTCAGCTTGGAAGTTTGAACCATTGATGGTGTTCGGGTCTGTGGCAGTGATCCGCTGGTTTGATTAGAAGAGATGAATTTGAATGTTGGACTTGCTGAATCCCAGACCTGCAGAGCTAGCCTCAGTAAGACTGAGCTAAAGCATACATCTCCTATGAAGTCAGGCTGCCCTAGATCCGGAGTTTCTGACCCGGACTTTATGGGGGGAATCTCAGAAAGTCCATCTTTCTGGCCTCTGCATAGTCATAATCCCTAACTGATACTGAACATTTCTATTCATGATGAAATTAGGCACCAAACTACCGTGACTCTCTGGCTATGAAAATCCTGAGGTGGTCTCTGGCGGCCCCAGCAGTGCTCCCAATATTTCAAAATAGCCCTTACACTCATGACTATAGATGAAAGTCATCCCTAGCCCAGTCCTTGCACCTTGCTAACAAGGAAATACGCTAGCACGGGTATCCCTCTATGATGTATTTGTGTTTTAAAAATACTTCAATGGGTATTTTTCTATATAATTCCCTGCCTTTGTAACTCAATGGATACTACTGTATGCCTTAAAAAACATTCTTCTAAGATGGCCTATGGCGTCTTCCCCAGAGGGCCAAAGAGGTCCCCGGCAGAGATCAGGTGAAGGAGCGCTGGCCAGAGCATCAGGTGTGAGGGCAGAGTCAGTGTGGCGGAGCTGGGAGGGACGGTCTCAGTTTGTGAGAAATAACAGACCTGGACAAGACGTTGGGCAATGGGTCAGAATTGCAACACGGGAAACAGCTCAATGGCCACGCCCAAGCAGAGCCTGGGTCCAGGCTCTCAGTGGGAAACATGTCACTCAGTTTCTCCCGGCAGGTGACCTCAGGGACCTGCAGAGCCCTGACTTTCTCAGCCCTGTCAGCGACAGGCGTGGTGAGCCATCCATTGTTGGGATTCCTAGTGAGGTCCCCCTCAGGAGGCCATGCAGCCAGCTGTCTCTGGCCATTCTTAGCCACTGGTAATAAGCAACCCTGACCTGCTTCCTGGGAATGGAGTGCAGTTCCATGGCCCTCCCCTGGGTGGTTCTCTAGCTCTAACGGAAGGTTTCAGATGCCTAGGGGGCATCTTTCCTTCCACTGGGATGATTGCGAAGGAGCCTGACCCTCAGGGGGTACACCAGGCCAGGGTTCTCTATAAAAACTTCTCACACTTCTTTGCACACCCTGCTAAAAACTCACTCTTGTGGAGCTGAGACTGATAAAACTCGGTGAGAGTAGAAAGCCCATCTTTCTCCCAAGGAGGGACTGTAGTTTGAACTGCTGACTTTGGAGTTAGCAGCTCCAGTGTGTCACCCACTCCCCGCTAGGCCTCCTCTCCCATGCCGGAGAGTAGGGTTTTCCTAAGGCAACCCCCGAAGCCCGTGTCCGATTGTGCGTGCCTGCAGCTGGGGTGCGCACATCCGTCACTTTCAGGATGGGTTATCATGGCAAGCGCATGACTGTACTAGGTCTGAACCATCGTCTGGAAAGTCCCAAAGCAGTGAGTTCTGCCCGTGGCCCCCGTTTGCCCACCACTGGGCCTTCGCCGGGCCATACTTACTTGATAGTTGTTCTGGTTTTCATTCGTGTACAGAAGAAAGCGGGTGTCAATGGCTTTGGGGGACTGAGGGAAGAGCTTGAGTGGCCGCTGGAAGGTCCCTGCCCAAGGTTTCTCATTCGAAAAGCAGCCAAGATGCCCAAAGCAGATCTCCTTCCCTGGAAGGGGGGGGGGTGAGGCACACAAACAGAACACTTGTGAGGTTTCCAAAAGGGGCCCTGTCACACCAGCTCAGGTCTTGGCTGTCAGGGTGGCGTCTGGGTCTGGCCAAGGCGCATGCTGGCCTCCGTCTTTGCCAGATGTTCCCAACTCCGTGAGGATGAGAATCAACGTGTGAACGGGAGGCACCTGCGTGTCTTGCCTATGCACGATGCCCAGCTGTTCCCTCCGAGATTTGGATTTGAAGGGGCTGGAGTAGGAGGGTCGCGTGTTTAGCAGTGGCCCTGGACAGTCAAGCAAGGAGCCCTGGTGGCACAGTGGGCACCACCTCGGGCTGCAGACACAAGGCCAGTTGACAGTTCGAATCCACCAGGCTCGACAAGGGAGAGAGGAAGCTTTCTGCTCTCACGAAGATGGACAGCCTTGGAAACCCTCAGAAGCAGTTCTACTCTGTCCTGTTGCTATGCGTCAGATGGCAGTGGGTGGGGACAATCTAGCAAATAGGAAATGGGCTGGAAGTGACTCTGGGGAGTGCCTGCCTGTGGAGCAGGAGGAGGCAGGCATCAAAGAGCAAGGCGGATGGATTGGTGAGAGCAGCAGACTCTCACCTCTGCTGTCAGAAGCGGGGCAGGAGGGAAGGGCAGGTAAAAAATGGGCCAGGGTCGGGAAGGGTAGTAGGGACAGGTGGCTGGCATGTGTAGGAAAGCCTTGGCAGGCATGGAAGAGAGTACCCCCAGAAGATTTGGGGAGTCCCAGCCGGGCGGAGAGAGGAAAAGGAAAGAGAAAGGAGGAAATGGACTGGGGGGAATGGGACTTGGGTGGAAAGTGGAGGGGGGTGTTTTGGGCGAGTGAATCTCTTTGGGGCAGACATCAGGGAGGAGGGAGGAATTGAGGCCAGGAGGACCAGAGCTGATGCCAATTGGAGGAGGGGGAGAGGGGTGGTGGGCAGGAAGGTGGGCCCATCTAGCCTGCCTGCCAGGATGTGGGGTGCTTATGGGGCACGTCCTGGGGGCGTTAGCCTGGGAACTTGTCCTCAGGGAGGGTGGGATCCTGGGAGAGGGAGCTGGAAGCCTGCCCAATCCCCACTGCCCACCACCTGCTGCCTGAGGATCATTTCTCTAGCCACAAGAGCCTGCACTGCAGCAATGGACAGGGGACTAAGCATGAGATCACTCATGGACCTTCGCTCTGTATAGGGCTTTGCTCTGTATAGAAGTTGCAGTCTCTCTTGAACTAATTAATCATAATCCTTAGCTGATGTCCTTGGGCCAAATTACCCAAAAGCTAAGCCCAGGCTTGGTCACGTTCTCCCCGAAGGGAGGTGACAGCATTCTCACCTTGAACGGTGGCCAGCAGGAGGAAGCTGAGGATCCAAGAGGACAGCATCTACATGGATGGAAACATAGACACGCATAGACACGAGCAGACGTGCAAGTGCTCAGCCCCGAGGCTGGCAGGGGCAGGTCCCTGGGCAGGCCAGGAAGCCCCATTCATAGATGAAGAGCCTGAGGTCAAGGCTTCCCAACCCACAGGGAGTGGGCAACTTTGTGCTGGGGACCCTTGCAGTGGTGCCCCCTTCTGGGCCCGGTCTCCCCTGGCAGTTGTGCTGCTGCAGTTCTGCCAAGCTCCCCACCCCCACCCAAACTCCCTCCTCTGTTATTACCGGAGCAGCTACTTACTGTTTGGGACCGGAGCTTCCACTCTTGGTTCAGCCTGTTGGACATGGCCTTTTATAGCCAGGCGTTCTCCTTTGGACTTCCCTTGGAGGACGGGATGAGGGCAAAGAGGTTGGGCATGCCATGTGTGCCCTTTGAGCCTTGGTTTTATAAACATATAGATCCTGCTCCACCAGGAGCAGGGCTGTTTATACAGGGAGATTCGAGGAGAGGAAAACCAAATCTGGGGGCAGCCGGGCGCTGTTACTCTGAACTTGGACAGTTCAACTGCCAAAAGATCATGTCCCAGAGTGAGAACTGGGAAAGCCCAGCATGCAGCAGCACCTTGCAGGTGCAGCACCTCCCTCCTGAAATTCCCCCAGGGACCCAAGGACAAAGCCTTGTACAGCTGTCAACAGACTGCAGGTCTGGGCAGACCAAGGGCCTGACAGTGAGCAGAGGTTTACATCTATGAGAATGTAGGCCTGCCTATCCTGGGCCACAGGGCAGCCCCGCTGAGAACTTAACCAGACATCACACACCCCAGCCGCTCACTTGCCCATGAACTTAGACGAGGGAGAGGAAGGCGACTCCGCTGACCGAGAAGTTTCAAAGGCAACAAAGCACACTGCCTGAGTCCAGTCGGTGTATCTTTGAAGTGTGTGTTGTTTGCAACCACCGGCCATCTGCCACTTTGCTAGGTTGTGATGGCTTGCATGTCACCGGGATGCAGGAAGCTGGGCTCCCAGCATGTCAAGCAGGGCCACCCATGGTAGCGGCGGAGCTTCCAGACTAAGATGGAACAGGGGGAAAGGCTCTGGCGATGAACTGCTGAAAATCAGCTGATTTTCCACTCGGTGGATGGCAACAAAGGATTGTCCAATGTAGTGCTGGAAGACCAGACTGAAGGTCCTCCAAAAGCACCACGGCTGAGCCCAGGGACTTAGGGACAATAGCGCTTGTGGAGATGGGCTGGGCTGGGGCAATGCTGCCTTCTGCCATTCATGGAGCTGCTCTGAGTTGGAGCCAACGTGATGGCAACTAAGACCACCGTGTATGTATAAGGGAGTCAGAGCGTGGGAGAAAGGGGAGGGGGGTGGAGTTGTTCACCCACCTGGCGGTGATGGGCAATGCGCATATGTCTCTCCCAGGGCCGTGTGGCCTTTCCAGCAGCCTCTTTCTCACATGCAGTTTTTTGTTTGTTTGTTTTTTGAGAGTCTCACAGTAGCTCTTCCTCTTGCTCCTTCAGCCCCCAGGGAAGAGCTTGGAGCTGCCGAGCCTGGGTGTGGAACATCTTTCCATATCTTTTAAAAATTTATTTAAAGCATTTTATTGGGGGCCCATGCAACTCTTATCACAATCCATACATCCAAGTAATTCCATGGAATCAAGATAGGTTGCCCTCCTTCCCTTCTAGATATTTACTTTTTATTGAGCCCCTGGTGTCAGCTCTTTTTTTTAATCTTTACAAACACTGCTTCAACAAACACTTCAAGTAGGCATATGCTCCCACAGCCCTGGGTGCGATACCCTCCTTCCGTATCTTTATAAACGCCACTTCAATAAACCCTCCCCTAGGCCATCTGCTTAGCACAGGGGCCCAGGTGGATGTAGCTGGTCACTGGGATCCCCAGAGAGTGGTGTTGAACTTCCTAATAGAAAAGGTCCATGTGCTTCCTTGGTCTTCCGTGGTGAACAAGTTCACGTGGCTTTCACCACATCCTTGCGGTGAAGAGGTGATGACAAACATACGGAACCGCTTCACGACAGATGATCTGATAGCACAGGTGACCCTGTGCTTACCTTGCCCACTGGAGACTCTCTCCCTGTCAGAAGTGGTGAATTTCAAAAGAGGCTTTGATTCTGTAGGAAGTGTTCTGCGGGGGTGGGAGAATGACAGGTGCCAGACACACTTAGTAGCAAGAGCTTTGATGTGATGGGGGGAAAAAGGTGACATTGTTCACTCCACACTAGGAAGTCAACCCAAGTCGGCCTGTGCTGCCCTTGCTTCCTGGGGAGCTGCACATCGCCTGAGGGGGAATGATTGCAGTGACTCAGGGACTTGGGGTCCCTGGGGTGTCTTCCTCTCCTGACTCTATCTCTAGTCCAGGTCAGAAGTTCACCCTTATTGGTCTCTCCCAGGCAGGAGTTCATCCTTATTAGCCTCTTCTCCGGAGGCAGCTGGTTTGTTCAATTCTTAGATTTTCGGGGTTCCTACCCATACTAATTCCAGTGAACCCATTCTGTGACTTGGCTATAGTTGCTGTCACTTGTTTCACAAAGGGACTTTCAGCTGCTCTGTGGGTTCCCGCATCAGCGCTCTCCCGGGTCCAGTCAGAGAGGTCAGTGGACGGTCCCAGTGTCGCCTACTTACTTGAGTAGCCCGCAGGGTTCGGTCGGTCGGATGAACTTCCACCCCACGGGGCAGAGCTGAAGCGAGAGGGATGGTGGCAGGTTTCTCAGACATGAAGCAGAACTTGTTCCTGAGATGCTTCCAGGCTATGTGGCAAGGGTGGGAGGCAGTCACTCTGGTCTCAAGGACTCACAAAGGCAGATTTACCCAATGTAAGGAAGAAATGCTCCAAAGATCGGAGTTATTAGGAGATTGGGATAGAATAGGGTTTTGATGGTGTGTGTGTGTGCACTTCTTGTTTCACCTGAATGACATTACAACGTGGAGGGAAAGAGATGGCAGCCAAGCATCAGGGAATGGTTGGCTGAGATCAGTTTTGGAAACTGTGAGATGGAAATAAGATGTCACCTACCTTTCTATTCCAGAAAGAATCACCCCAAAGGATTGGAACCTTTTTTTTTAAAAAAGCACGAAAATCCACCCAAGGGGCAGTACAACTCAAGTGAATAAGAACGACCTTGAACAAACACATCGGGGGTCATTAGAATCTCAAAGACAAGGCGTTGAGCTCCGAGACTATCAGAAAGGAATGAGGTGAGTGTCCACAGAAAAGGGCAGTGATCTGACCCAAGCTCTAAGATGTCAAAGAAAAAGAGTGAGTTCCCCCCACCCTCCCATTTTGTCGTTGAGATAATGGAGGCCCAGAAAGGTTAAAAGGCTTAGGTCAAGTGTAGCTGGAAGAGTCGGTCCCTGATCTCAGAGCTCCACCTGTGGTTTGGTTTGCTGATAGGCAAAATGGGTAGCATCTTGGCTGACTTAGGATCACTGGCCTTGCTCAAGAGGGGTGGGAAGCTGTGCCACAGTCACCAGTAGACGGACACAGACTCACAGGTGTCCCTGGGCAGTCCAGAGCCTGTCCAGGGACCACGGCAGGCCAGCTGGGACCCAGCCTGCAGCCCAGGGCATGGGGCCTCCAAGCTCCCCTCTCCTCTGCCTGGAGGGCACAGAGAAGGCTCTGCCAGCTGCCTGCCATGGGAAGGAAATGAAGGCCAGCACCTGTGGGAAATGGCCTTCTCCGGCCACATGGTCCAGGAGCAGGTCAGGCCTTAGGAGCTTGTCCAGCTGGTGCAGCCGCTGGGGTTGGGTGACTTAGTGCTTCCTTCTATACTCTAACCTGGGGCCTGTTGAAACTGCAAATTTCTTCTATCTTCATGTGAGATGACCATCCCCACCTCCCCAGAGGGGGCTCCACACCCACCTGCAAATCACCTTCTCACAGCCCCCTCCTCCTTGCTGGCAGGTGCTTGATGGCTGTGTTTGAGTCTTCAATCTCATTCATGTTTATGGGGCTACGACGCACCCCATGTTCTTCCTGCCCCGAGGGCACAACCGTGAACAACAATGACAATGCCCTCCTCCCCTGCCCTGGGGATGAATCCTCCTCTGGGACCTAGGTCCTGCCTTTATCTACACAACGGAGAAAAGAACTAGACATCATGGAAGTGCTAAGGGGAAGAACCGTGTGTGTGTGTGTGTGTGTGTGTGTGTGTGTGTGTGTGTGTGTGTGTGTAGAGGGGGCAGGCTTGTACGCAGGCTTCGTCATTGGGGCTTTGTCTGAAGAGGGTAACTGGAGGGGTCCAAGTGGAAAAGGCTCTTCTTAGCCGCAGTGAATGTAGTTGTCTACTGGCCAGTCTCCCTTTGGCCACTCGTTCAAGGCCGCCCCTCCCCCCCACCGTACATGCTCAGTGGAACGCCCCAGCCTTCACCCTTGGCCCTGCGTCCACACAGGCGGTTCTCTGTGTGGCAGAGGTGTCGTCTGCTTCTCCTCACCTCCACGGGCTTCCCATCTCTGCAAATTCTCCAGACTCATGCTCCTCTCTCACTCTTCCCTCGGGGGTCTTGGTGGCACAGGGCTTACACCGTGGGCTCCTACCCAGAAAGGTGAGAAGTTCGATGCCACCAGCTGCTCCACAGAGCAGAGATGTGGCCGTCGGCTTCTGTAAAGAGTCAGCCGGGGGGAAAAAAAAAAAAAAGAGTCAGCCGAAGCCTGTTGCCCACCTGCCCCTCCCACCCCCAAGCCAGTTCCAACTCAGTGACTCTCACGGCCAGAGTAGAATGGTCTCCAGGGTTTCCAAGGCTGCCATCTTTACGGGAGCAGCCAGCCACGTCTTTCCCCTGCGGAGGCGCTGAGGGAGATTGAACTCTCCAACTTCTAGTTTGCGGTCAAGTGCTTAACCACAGTGCCACGAGGATGCCTTCCGGAGAAGACCTTGGCCTTGGCAACACTCTGTCCCGTGAGTCAGATTGACTTGCCGGGTTGGTTTGGCTTTGGGTTCTGTCCTTCCCTGCTTACTCCCCCGCCCCCAGCCCGAGAGCCACCTCCCTCAGCTCTCGCCCGCCTGCAGACTCCACGCTGCCGGCCCCAGATCACAACCTCCAAGTTTCTTCAGAGTGCAGTCCATCCGCAGACTCCCTCCTTGCTCAAACCTTCTCGGTGTCTGGACTATTCCCCCTGCCCACATCCATCGGCTGAGGAGGCCAGAGTCTGACTACCAAAGACCACACGAAGGGAATGCTCCGCCTCTAAAACTGGCAACGGAAACAGGTGATCAGCCACATGAACATCCAGTCAAGGACTCTCAGAGCCACCTGCCCAGGGAGCCCTGGACCACCGAGGACTCCTGATATCACAGGTGGTGCAGGATGAAGTCAGTGGTTCTCCTGCGGTTCCTTACATCTGTGGACTTGACCAGAGCCCTAGGGGAACTGTCGTCCTACCCCAGAGGGGCCCCAAAGATAGCCCCAACCCCCCACCTCTCTAGGGCCGTGTGTTGGCTCATGGTCATCGTTGACCTTGGACTCTCAATGGTGTCAGAAGGGTCTCAGCGCCTGGAGATGGATACTAGTTAAGTAGCCAAGGTCTATGATGACCATCTTGGAACATGCTTCTTGTCCTTCCTGGAAGTTGCCCCCAGCTGCATAGCTCTCCTACTCCAGCTCTGGTCTCCATCAGCTGTCTCCCCTGCCCTGGAGCATGTGACTGCCAGCCACTACACTGGTGGTTGGGCACCAGGACACCCGAGGCTCAGGTCAGCGCATTGGCTGAATGCTCATGGCATGGTCAATAGCCTTGAAGGATCCTCCCCCACCCCCCATTACTAGAATCCTCACTCCTTGGCTATATGCTTTTCTCA